TGAAGGACTGTAAGGTTTTTATGTCATAGAGAAGTGTCTATTTTGGCTTGTCTTTTTTTAGTGAATGGTTAAATAAATGTATTAGTTTATACTCTACTATTGCATTCCATTTCATTTGTGTAATTTGTTCATTCTGTGGGTTGGTTACATGACCATGTCAGCACCTAATACTTTTTTTCAGAATTTGTGAACAAACAGGCTTACAAAATCTTATAAGTTCTTGTCCATTGCATGTCAATTTTGATCAATGTTGGCACTCTAGTCATACACACAATAAAACAAAATGTCTTTTTATGAGATTTATGTTGTAATAAACAGTGCTGCAGTGTTCAGTGCTGCTTGTGGGAGGGATTAGAGAGTGTTAAATTTCAACATCCTCCAATATTATATCTCTTATATTGCATATTTCTCCTTTTATTGGAAGTGTGCAGTCTTACCGTTTCTTTTAAGATTACTGTTCTCATTAAGGTAAGTCAACTGTGTTCTCTAATTCATTTTATGGCAGTTTCAGATTTCCAGAATAAAATCAGTCACATAAAATGTTGGTAGTTATCAGAGAAGGTTCTAAAGTGTTTTTTTTGTTTTTTTTCCAATGTCTCAGACTTATATTAAGTTCTGTTGTTTATAGAAAAATATTTTTTTGGTTGTCAAAATACTGCTTTAAAAACTCAAAATGAGATTTTTTAAAGATCTGTGCTTACAATGACAAATTATAGGACAACATGTCAAAGATATTAAAACAGAGATCTGAAACAGTTGAACTTAACATTTCGAGCTGTTCAAGATCACAAGTTCCTATCGTGTGATGTGTATCTGATTACTGGACTTTGATGAGAGTGGGGTGTAACTGCAGTCCCTGAGAGTTACTCTGGTAGCATTCATCAGTAGACTGGTGAAGTTTGACTAATCAACTTATATTTTGGTGGATTTTTTCTGTTTTTTATCTCCAGGACAATGAGAGGACAATGTACTCATCTAAAATGTACTGATTCATTGGTATGTTTTTTAAGGAAAGGTAAAAGAAATATGTTAAGCTTTGATTGATGTTAATTGATGTGTGATTGATCTTGCAGTAACTGTTCTCATGGAGTTCTACAGAATTTCAGGTAATGTTTTCTACATGTTCAGCCTCCATACATAACTGACCTTTGCTCACAGTAGTCTGTAGTTTGTATATTCTAAGAGATGTTGACCAACTTTTATGCAATTAATCTCAGGAATGTAACTGCATTTAAAAACTCAACTTAAAATCCAATTTAAAGGAGTTTAAGGTGCTGTTCTCTTTTATTTTTATATATATTGCACTGCATTTCATTTCATTATAACTAAAAAAAAAATGTAACACATATACAGAAAGTTTGAATGTCCTTGGATCACTGCCTCCATTTTCACTTGAAATAAACAGTAAAGGTTCTGTCTGACATGCTCACCATAATAAACAGAAAGTATTCCTTCTCATATTTTCAGTGAGTGGGAAACACATTCTCAGGCCATCTTGAAAATCTCAGCAGTGTGTTTTTGTCAATGAAAAACACTATATGACATAAGAATACATAGAAAAAGCCATACATTTTGTAAAAGTACCAATGATTTTTGTTTTTAGAAAGGTTTGATGTGTCAATTAGAAGAATACAGTTAGAAGAACATTCTTGCTGCACTCCAGCCTGCATGAATTTGTTCAATTTTATCAGCAGCACCTGATTTTATTTAATAAAGGATCAATTAAATAGCTAGGCATTGGATGGTAACTGTAACTACTGGGTTCCTCCAAGGAGATTTGATGCCTGGATACCAAACCAAATTCTAATGGGATCCTTGGTCGCCACCCAGAAAGGAGGAGCTTGAGACCAAAAAAAGCAGCTTGAATAGCAGGATGGAGGAGACTGGAAAAACAACTTTTTAATAACATCACTTTCTCGCAAGGAAAAGAACCCATGAGGGTGAAAATGCTTCTTTTTGCTTAACTTTTCAGCTCTTGTCATGTTTTATCTACTTTATTAACCTATTTCTAGACTTCTTTACTGATACTGAGCCCTAGTTTACTTACCCAGCTGGACTTTACTACTCTTGTCTCTCTCTCCTGCTTTCGCTCTCGTTCTCTATTTACTTGTACCTTTGGCACTAGGAGTCAGGGCAGGCAAGTCTGTTCATGCATCTACATTTTCTTGAAGGAATTGCCTTATGCATATAAACTGGGTTTGAGGGTTGGTGTTACCGCTTGTTTTTATGTTGTGTAGATTAGACAGAGAAAGCAGTTTTTGTTTGTTTTTCTTTATTAGCACAAGCTTGGTAAACCTTATGACAGGAAGTTCATTTTTGTTTTATTATCTACTTTTTGTTGCCACAAGCCAAGTCCTCCTCCCTCAGATACATGACCTTTTACTCCCTTTGTTTTAGGAATTAATTAATGAATGAGTAATTTAAACAGTGATTGTAACTCTTAAAAACTGCAGATTAACCTTCATTGTGCCTTCACCACTTTTTTCAACTCCCTTTTTTATTTTACCCATTCCTTGTTCTCACAGCTGTGCCAGCTCACAGCTCACTCTTATTTTACCTCCTTACACACCTAGACTAAGTGATGAGCTGGTATCCAGGTAGGGCATGTAATGCCCTCAGGGTTTTTTACTGTTTATTCTGATCTACAGAGACTGACCTGTTCAAACATGCCACAGTCACACAAACAGTTGATTAGCCAGTACACCAAACTGTTTCAGATAAAATCTAGAATCAGTGTTTTTTTTGTCTGTGTCACTCAAACAGGGCAAAAGGCTGATTTTGGCACCATACCATGATTATGAATATGAAAAGAAGATTTTCCTCTTTCCTGAAGTGTAGGTTAAAGGTTTCCTTCACTGTATTCCACTTTCACATCTCTTGTCAAAACATGTTTAGTACCTACAACTGTTATTAGATAAAGACAAAGTCTGTCTGTTGTCAGTGGGGTTAAGCACATAGAGTTAGGCAGGAAAGAAAAAATACAACTTGGCTTCTGGGAAGTGCATTGCTGCAGTTTGAAGAAATGCTTTTATAACTGGTGCTGTTTTAACATTTATTACGATGCTATATTTGTGAAATAAACTGATATATCCCAGTGGGCTGTTCATTTTTGTATTTAAGAGCCACATTTATACTACTGCTGTTTGCTATGCTACTGAATATAAAAAGATCTACAACAAAAATAACAAGCAACACATGTTTAGGTAAGCATGCATTACTGTATATTTTGAAATTTTGCAGATAATGCATTTAAAGATGTAGAGTTAAATGAAAAACATTAACAGAGCATCTCCTGGAGGAGAAACAAGAGAGCCCTATATTTCAGCCGTGAAAAATATTATATTTGTTATATAAAAGTTATACACAGATCAAGTTGATTTAAAAGCAGGCATTAATGAAGCCTTTTTTTCTTTTCATATATTAAAAAACTGAAATAAAGCGCTAAAAAAAACAGAAAGTACTGATTAGTAAATTCTGTTTGACCTGTATTAACTTGAAAATGGTACAAAAACACAATCTTTTATGCTTCACCTTATAAACACAATTTTTCAGTGGGAGATCATTCTAGCACCCAGCAATTGTAACATGCAGAATGAAGCTTGGTGCTGTCATGTTGAAATAAGTATGGATGTCCATGAAAAGGACAACTTGTAAAAGACAGCATTTGTTGCTCCAAAATGTGTTCATTGCTAACAGTACTTTCACAAATGTGTTTTATATATACATACATACATACATCATCTAAACCACTTATCCTTCTGGGTCACGGTGGGGTGCTGGAGCCTATCCCAGCTGTCATTGGGCGAAGGCAGGATACACCCTGGACAGGTCGCCAGTCCATCGCAGGGCAGACAGACAGACATACACAATCACTCACACCTAGGGGCAATTTAGCACGTCCAATTGGCCTGACTGCATGTTTTTGGACTGTGGGAGGAAACCGGAGTACCCGGAGGAAACCCACACAGACACGGGGAGAACAGGCAAACTCCACACAGAAATGACCCTGGTCACCCAGCCGGGAATCGAACCCAGGCCATTCTTGCTGTGAGGCGACAGCGCTACCCACTGCGCCACCGTGCCGCCCTTGTTTTATTTATTTATATATATATATATATATATATATATATAAAACACATTTTGAATGAGCTCAGGTCCAGAGACGGTGGCAGCATTCCTGGATCCTGTTTATGTACAGTTTCTTTTTTGCATTTTAGAGTTTTAGCTTGCATTTGTGGAGCAGGACGAACTGTTTTCACAGACAGTGTTTTTCAGCAGTGTTTCTGAGCCTATTTAGCGGTTTCCTCTACAGAATCATGTCTGTTTTTAATGCAGTGCCGTCTGAGCACCTAAAGATCATGGCCAACAAATACTGGTTTCTGTTCTTGTCCCTTGCATACAGAGATTTCTCCAGATTCTCTGAATCTTTTAGTGTTATTCTGTACCGTAGATGATAAAAAGCAAAAGTTCTTTGCTATTTTAAGTTGAGAAACGTTCTTCTTGAATTGTTGCACTATTTGATGGTGCAGTCTTTCGCAGAGTGGTGAACCCCTCCTCATCTTTACTTCTGAAAGACTCAGCCTCTCTGAGATTTTGTTTTTATACCCAATCAAGTTACTGACCCATTGCCAATCAACCACCAGGTGTTTTCTCAGCATTTCACAACTTTACCAGTCTTTTGTTGCCCCATCCCAACTTTTTTGGATCATGTTGTTGGCATCAAATTCAAAATGGGCATATATTTCTCAATAAACAATAAAATTTCTCTTTTTCAACATTTGATATGTTGTCTTTGTACTATTTTCAATGAAATATGAGGTTTAAATGATTTGCACATCATTGCATTTTGTTTTTATTTGCATTTTGCACAACATCCCAACTTTTCTGGAAATGGGGCTATATTAACCTGTGCATGTGGACCAGTATTGTAAAGTATTACCCATGAGAGCTTTAGAGCAGCGATGGTGGAAGTTCCCTGCCAATGACCTCAGTTGTTCTATGGGCGGTGTAAGAGAGGAGGAGCAAAGGAGCAGGTGAGAAAGCAAAAGAGAAAATGAAGAATGTGCAAAAACAAAGAAGACATCAGAGCAAAAATGGGTAAGTGTATTTTGTTTCTTTAGCAAAAAATACAGAACATGCTGGTATTTTAAAAATATCTATCGAGATTACAAAATTATGAGAATAAATGAACCTTGATTTGCTACTTGATTTACAGAAATTAATTATCATGTGAGTAATAATTGAGTAACAATTGTGATGTAAGTTTGGTTTCTTAAGGTTATGCCGTTTTTATCCCCAGCACATAAAACACACCGTCTCTCAGAGCTGAGGATTGTGCTGCTGGGGTGCAGAAATGCTGGGAAGAGCTCAGCAGGAAACACCATCCTGAACAGAGAGGAGTTTGAGTTAAAGAGAACTGCTCAGTGTGTGAAGAGACAGAGAGAAGTAGCAGGGAGACACATCACTGTGGTCGAAGCTCCAGGATGGTGGAGTAATATACCAGTAAAGGTGAGCACTGAGTTACTGAAACAGGAGACTGTGCTCAGTGTGTCTCTGTGTCCTCCAGGACCTCATGTACTATTACTGGTCATATGTTTGGACAGAAAATTTAAAGAGAGTGGCAGAAAAGTACTACAGGAACACTTAAAAAATTTCACTGAGAGAGTCTGGAGTCACACTATACTGCTGTTCACTCATGGAGACTGTCTGGGAGACACACCCATAGAGCAGCACATTGAGAGGGAAGAGAAGGAGCTCCAGTGGCTGGTTGAGAAATGTGGGAACAGGTATCATGTTCTCAACAATAAGAACAGGAGTGATGACACTCAGGTCACAGAGCTGCTGGAGAAGATAGAGGAGATGGTGGCAGCAAACAGTGGACGCCATTTTGAAATGGACAGAAAGATTCTACAGGAGGTGGAAGAGAAGAGGAAAGCAGAGGAAGAGAGAGCTAAAGAGAGGATGATGAAGGTGCAGCAACAGAAAGAGCATAGAAAGAGCAAGAACATCAGATCATGCATAGGTGAGTGATTTATTAGCAAAAGTAGGATTACTTACAGCTGGCATTAAGCAATCGGTTTATTTTGGCCATTTTTCTGCATCTGCAAAAAGATGAGTCCAATGGGACTTGCTCATTACAACTGTCTGTGCATTTAGTTGAAAATCTGCAAGACAAGATTCTCTTATTAAGGCTGTTTTTGGATGTCTTAATGACTTTTGGTCCCACTTTATAATAAGTGTCTCTTATAACTGTGTAGTTACACATGAATAACATATGCAACAACACTAACTACTGATGATTTAGTCAATGTTACAGATGGATTACAGAAGTACAGCCTATGTAATTACACATGCGTATCAACTTCAGTTCTGCCTCATGTAACTACCCAAGTTCATCTTCTACACAGGAACTTTCCTGTAGTGTAATGTTAGTTACACTTTAAAATAAGTGAACAGTTCCTATGTAGTTGTTATGTAGGTACTGTGTAATAATCGAGTGATAATATAGACATTGCTTCGGAGGGAAATGCAGTCTCATGTTAAGATAAGGGGACGTCTGCTGTACCGTCACATTACAGTATGGTTTAAAGCTGAAACTGGTTACAATGTCACAACACTAGCAACAGTAACACTAGCTAAATATTAGGAAAGCTGGCAGATACAGTGTAAGTAATGTCTTAATGTAAGTTATTACATACTTCCTTTTACTGCTGGAAAAAAACTGCTGTTCCTGTCTGATTACAAATGTAATTACATTTATGTTATTATCCTTGTGTAATTACCCGAGAGAGAATAAGATGTTACAACAATTAAGATGCAATTTTGTAATTACATGAGGCAAGACTGAAGTTGATACACATAATTCTATAAGGTGTACATCTGTAATCCATCTGTAACAGTGACTAAATTATTAGTAGTTACATTGTTGTTGCATATGTTATTCACAAGTAACTACACAGTTATTAGAGGCACTTAATATAAAGTGGGACCCAACTTTTTTCTGTCTGTTGTCCACTTCCACTTTATACCTTTTCTCGTGAGTCTAAGTGGCTCTGACTGGTTTGCATTGTTTGGTATGAACTTCATCAAATATCCACAAGTGGCAAGAATTTATCTCAATTATACACATTTTGGGGGCTAGTATACATTAATTAATGAACCTTTGACTGGTATACATAGTATAAGCTATGAATAAATCATTAGTTGATCAGAATTTTAAAATTTGCAAATGTTTGTAAACAACATTTAATGTAGTTGTTGATTTGTGTGTCTATATTTACAAAAGTGCATGGTGTTTTTCTGTACTCTTTCATTAATAAGCAATTTTGTACAACATCAGTACATGCATCCAAATCATTGCAGCGAATTATTGAGATGTATAACTTAGTAATAGTGACATAAGCTTTACTTTTTATCCAATCTGTATATGTGCTGGTAAAATATATTATGGATAAATATTTAGATGATTTATCTCTGAAATTTAAATTCCTGTCGATAGTTTAGTAATTGATTTTATGCAATAGATTTTTTTTCAATAGTTAATTTTCAAACTGTTCATAATGAGTTAATGTTTCTAAAGGTTTGTAAGCTATGAGAATACAGGTTTGAAGCTGATCATGTTAACAAAGGTGTATTTTAAACATTTGTAAAATTTTCTATTTCTGATGAAACTGATGAACAGATAATGATTTATTAAGTACATTTATTATAAAGTGTTAGTGTTACTTCTTTTAAGTGTTACTGACTTCTGCAGATGTGTTCTTCTTTGAAATTAACAAGACATTACAAAAAATACTCTGCTTTTCTATTAACCACTTCAATAATTCCTCCTTCAAGCATTTGTCAAGTTCTCTGTTGACAGCTTCAACCATATGATCAAAAACAGTCATTTGTTTGTTTTTGCTCCAAACTCATTTGCCTGGTGAATTGATAATCCAAATCTAAAGAATGTTGTATTAGTTTTATCAAATTCATGTCATTTACAGTTTGCTGTTATTCACTTGCTGTGGGTGTGTGGAATGACTTCACTATAGAACTATAGAGCTAGACTACAAGCTGCTACTTTTGTACTTCTCTTTGTGTTGTAATTTCAAAAGGCAATTTTGGATTGAATTCATATACAAATGAAGAAACAATACTTTTACTTGAGAATGAGTTTAAGCTACTTTACATGCCTTCGATCAAAATATATTTCTGTACAGTCTGTCAGTGTTATATATATACACACTGACAGATTTAAAAAAATCCCTGAGCTTGACTGTCTAATAAAAGGTGGAATTGAGTTCCACAGTTTAGAAGGATAAAAAAGAAAGATTCTTTCCATGTTTTCTGGTATTTGCTGAAGGTCAGTATCTGCAGATTTATTATTACGTGTTGAAATATGAAAAGTAAGCGGGTGCTAGGTCATTTAGAGGCAAGGCAAGGTAAGTTTATTTATATAGCACCTTTCATATACTGCTGTCATTCAAAAAAGTCAAAACATGATTAGAACATGACTAAAACAATACATTTTAAAGAGAAAATCATTACATTAAAATCAAATTAGAAATTAAATAAGGATAATTAAAAATCAAATCAAAAATGAAAAAAATTATTAGAATAATAAGGTGTTGTTACAGAGGAGAAGGGCTAGAAATGCTAACAGTGTTTTAAACTGAGCTGAAAGCTCCTCAAATAGGAATGTTTTCAGGCCAGATTTTAAAATATCATCTTTTTTGTCCAGTTAGGAGATCATTACAGTAATCAATCTTATTGATGTGTGATAAAAAGCTAATTTGGTAATTGCTTTGACATGACTGCTAAAACTATGATCAGAGTCCATTAGTACACCAAGGTTTTGTAGTAATTCTTTAGATTTTAGGGCTCTTGAATCCAGATCCAGGAAGCTAGTCTGTGCCTCTCATTGTGTCAAACAGTCACATGACTTCATCTCCTCCAGGGACTCAAACTCCCAGAATTCCCCAGGAGATCATGTGACTATCACACCACCACCATCAGTCAATTGCCATTCATCATCTCCTGAGTACTGATGAGTCTCAGCTGTTGCTTGTAATCATTATTTGGTATAGTAAGTAGATAAGCCCGGGCTTTAGTTTAGCTTGTTGTGACATACTGCTTCATTCAAGAGCTACTGAGCGTTTCTTCCTGTGATTATCGTTGACCTGTGTATTTGGACTGTTTTGTGTTATCATTATGTTTGTCTCTTTCTGTTTTTGAATCATTCTAAGATTGAGCTTTGCCTGTTTCATGGCCATGAGTATCGATCACGTCCAAGTAAACAGTAAAGCCTCAATTCTTGATTTTACCTATGAGCGTTGCTATTCCCAAATAAAATAATCTCTGTTTTATCTTTATTCAACTGCAAAAAGTTTTGTCCCATCCAGTTAGTGATGTGCTCAAGGCACTTACAGAGTGAGTCAAGGGGACGTTAGCTGTTTGGGGCTAGGGCCAAGTAATTCTGAGTACCATCTGCATAGTTGTGGTAAGATGTCACAGTCTTGTAGCATTTGGCCAAGATTACCAAATTAAATTACCAAATTAAATAAGAGTGGCCCAAGAATTGAACCCAGGGGGACACCACAGATGACTGGCACTGTCTCAGAAACATTATTTTTAATATCCACAAAGTAGTCCCTTTCCTTGCAGGTATGAAGTGAACCATTTTAAGAGAGCCCAACCCAGTTCTCAACTCTATCTATGAGAATTTTATGGTCAATGGTGTCAAAGGCAGCTGTGAGATCGAGCAGTATTAGAATAGATGTTTTTCCAGAGTCTGTATATAAATAAAGGTCATTAATAAACGTAATTAGAGCTTTCTCAGTACTATAATTACCTGGAACCTTGACTGAAATTTGTCTAGACAACTATTTAAGGACAGAAAGCCAGCAAGTTGCTTGAAGGCAGTTTTCTCAATATTTTTTCCAATGAAAGGTAGATTTAAAATTGGTCTGTAATTACTCATCAGAGTTACTTCTAGATTTTTTTAAAGAGAGGCTTAACCATTGCAGTTTTTAATTTGGTAGTTAAAACATCCGACATGAGTAAGATGTTTACTATCTGAAGTATGTCCGCTGCTATTGAGTAAAGCACATTCTTTAAAAGAACGTCAGAGATAGAAAAGGGTGAACTTTAGCAGTATCTCTCAAATGATAAAAAACACTTTATTGACTGCATTCATAGCTATTTTAGTAAACTGCTAATAAAGTATCAGTCCTATTTTAGCCTACATTTAATCAAAATTAGCTGATATCCTAAAACTTTTATCTTAGTCTGTCACTAAAAACATATTTAGCACTGTTGCATGATTGTAACCATGTGTTGTTTTAGTTAGCCATTTAAACATGGATGGCTTATTTTATTCCTTTCAAAAGACAACAAAAATTGATTTAGCTTCTTGAGAGCAAATCGTAACCCTAATCTTAACTTGAACACAAGACCTACACTTATTCCTAAAAGTAACCCTAACCTTAACTTCAACCTTAAATCTACACCTATGCCTAAACCTAACCTTAACCTTACCTTGAATCCTAAACCTACACCTACTCCTAAACCTAACCCTAACCATAATGTTGTTGATAATCAAATGAGTTTCAGTCATCAAAATAAAAAAAGGGTGACTCTGACTTTAATCAAACAGTTTGTTACTATGGAATAATAATTTGATTATTCTACACTGAAAAATAAATCAATAAATAAATAAAAGTAAAAAACATAAAATTAAAAACAAACATCTCAGTAACTCAGCAGAGTAACCTTATATTAGGGGTATTGTATTATGCACTGTTCTGATTCTCTGGATATCAACCTTATGCTTGTGTTTGCCGACTGTGAGTTTGCATTGCCCCTTTGGAATTAAAGCTTCGGACTCAAGCATCTGCTGCAAGCGTCTGGTCCCATTTGCCACCATTACAATAAGCCAACTGGTGAGGTTGTTTTTCACCCAGCAATTTTTTTATGCACCACTGTTCAGGAAGAACACATTTTGAGCAATATAAAGCATTTTCTGTTTTTGCTGAATACTTTAAAACTTTCAAATTCTATCAACATAAAATGTGTTTGCTGTGTTTGGGGTTTGTGTTTTCAAGATCATCAGTAAGTTCAGTTTAATCCAGCATAGCACAAGTTATACATAGTTTTTCTAATATACAAAGACATTTCAATAGTCATGACTTGTTGGGGGACAACATTTCACACAGCCAGTAAATAAGACTAGTCTGCTGTAACTGTGTTTGATGCCAGCTACATGGACTGTTTTCTGGGCATGGATGGCCTTTTGATGGGTTGTATGTGGAGCCTATGGATGAATGTAGATGTTTATTGAGCTGTACATTAACCCTAAATTTTATGGTATTTTCATAGACCCTTGTCAGTTAATTTATTAGTCCATCTTAAAATGAAACTGAAGTTAATTTCAAACAGGGGTTTAGCAACATTTTTTTTTCTGTTACAGGTGACACCAACTATCTCTCAGAGCTGAGGATTGTGCTGTTGGGATACAGATATGCTGGGAAGAGCTCAGCAGGAAACACCATCCTGAACAGAAAGGAGTTTGAGTTAAAGAGAGCTGCTCAGTGTGTGAAGAGAGAGAGAGAAGTAGCAGGGAGACACATCACTGTGGTTGAAGCTCCAGGATGGTGGAGTGATGAACCTGTAGAGGACAGCACTGAGTTACTGAAACAGGAGATTGTGCTCAGTGTGTCTCTGTGTCCTCCGGGACCTCATGTTGTACTGCTGATCATAGATGTGGACACTGCGATTGAAGAAAATGAGGGGAAAATTTTCAGTGCATACTTGGAGCTTCTCACTGAGAGAGTGTGGTGTCACACTTTAGTGCTGTTCACCTGTGGAGACTGTCTGGGAGACACACCTATAGAGCAGCACATTGAGAGTGAAGGGAAGGAGCTCCAGTGGCTGGTTGAGAAATGTGGGAACAGGTATCATGTTCTCAACAATAAGAACAGGAGCGATGACACTCAGGTCACAGAGCTGCTGGAGAAGATAGAGGAGATGGTGGCAGCAAACAGTGGACGCCATTTTGAACTGGACAGAAAGATCCTACAGGAGGTGGAAGAGAAGAGGAGAGCAGAGGAAGAGAGAGCTAAAGAGAGGATGATGAAGGTGCAGAAACAGAGAGAGCACATCAGATCATGGATGGGTAAGTGTTTTTATTACCACAGTTAGGATACACTTTTGTTAGCATGTTGTATTAAAACCAGATATGCATAGTAACTAGTTACATTTATTCACTTACATGAACTCAAGTAAAATTTTAAGGAATAGGTCTTTTCTTCTCTGTTTTCAAATCATAATACTTTAATTTCTACTCAGGTATACCCATGAACAAAGTCATCTAATCTTTACTCAGTTACATTACAGTTATTAACATTTATTCACTAATTCCTTTTTGTGTTTATTTTCATTCTGCTTTTGTTCAGCTCTTGTACTACTTTATGACTGTTCATACGTCTCATTCTGGAGCTCTTACCATTTTCTTTTAGAACTAGAGTGAAACCAAAATAGAAAAAAAAGCACTGATGAAATTTTAGTTCCTATACTCTCTGGATGTACAACCCCATTTCACAAAGTTGGGATGCTGTGCAGAATGTAAATTAAAATAGAATGCAATGACGTGCAAATTATATAAACGATATAAGGAAAATGCTACAATGATAACATATCAAATCTTGAAACTGAGAAATGTTGTTGTTTTTTGGAAAATATATGCCCATTTTGAATTTGATGCCAACAACACATTACAGAAAAAGTTGGGACAGGGGCATGTTTACCACTGTGTTTCAGCTGCTCAACAGTTCGGGGGCTCCTTTGTCGCATTTTTCATTTTATAATGCGCCAAATGTTATCAGTGTGTGACACCTCTGGACTGCAGGCAGGCCAGTTTAGTGCCTGGACTCTTTTAATACTGAGCCATGCTGTTGTAATATGTGTAGAATGTGGTTTGGCATTGTCTTATTGAAATAAGAAAGGCCTTCCCTGAAAAAGACATCATCTGGATGGCAGCATATGTTGCCAAAACATATATATATCGTTCAGCATTAATGGTGTCTTCACAGATGTGCACATCACCCATGCCATGTGCACTAATGCACCCCTCACCATCAACAATCCCCGTGTTAGAAACCCAGTGATCTATGGGATAAGATACTGACCAACCACAGAAGAGGACTCAAGTGCAGAGCAGTAGAGAGTCAAGAACGCGGAAAAAGGCAAAGCAAAGTTGCCCTGAGTGAGGCTTGGCCTGGCATCCTCATGACACAAGGGTGAATGTGTTACCACTAGACTACTGCAGCCACAATGAGGGATGCCTCGTGGAAGAGCTGACAAATCAAGGGGAGAAGCGAAGGTCAAACAAAAGAAACACAAGAGCAGTGTCTTTAAACAGAAGAGAGTTCCTGAAAACTAAACGGGAAAGCAGTCAACAGAAAAGGGCACAAAGTGTTTTTTGGGGGTGGGTCTTTTTAATTTATTTCTTCTTTTTTCTTAATACTTACGCCAAGGCTTTGGAATGCCAAAAGAGGAAACCACTTTTACTCAGTTACTCAGTATTTAAGTAGTTTTTTGCTTTTGTGTTTCTTTTGAGTTGAGTTTTTGGAAAAATACTTTCAATTTTACTAAAGTTATCAATTCATAGAAGTAACAATACTTTTATTTGAATGTGAATTTAGTCTGCTCTAATACATTTCTGACCTTTTTTGAACAGTCTTTCAGAGTTTGTGATGGCTCTTCTCTACCTAATTCTTCCGTTTAATCACAATGTAAAAGAAACAAACACATTGTTGTTTCTGAACACTTAAGCATTTTCAAATTCTATTTACATCAAATAATGTTGTTGTTGTTGTTTGTGTGTGTGTGTATGTGTGCAAGTGATATATACAGATATTTTACAATCTTTGTGTCACTGTCTATTGCAGGTGATACACACTGTCTCTCAGAGCTGAGGATTGTGCTGCTGGGGTACAGATATGCTGGGAAGAGTTCAGCAGGAAACACCATCCTGAACAGAGAGGAGTTTGAGTTAAAGAGAGCTGCTCAGTGTGTAAAGAGACAGAGAGAAGTAGCAGGGAGACACATCACTGTGGTTGAAGCTCCAGGATGGTGGAGCAATAAACCTGTAGAGGAGAGCACTGAGTTACTGAAACAGGAGGTTGTGCTCAGTGTGTCTCTGTGTCCTCCGGGACCTCATGCTGTACTGCTGATCATACGTGTAGACTGCACATTTAAAGAGCATGAGAGAAAAGTATTAGATGGAAGCCTGAAGCTTCTGCTTGAGAGAGTGTGGAGTCACACTATAGTGCTGTTCACTCGTGGAGACTGTCTGGGAGACACACCCATAGAGCAGCACATTGAGAGTGAAAGGGAAGGAGCTCCAGTGGCTGGTTGAGAAATGTGGGAACAGGTATCATGTTCTCAACAATGAGAACAGGAGTGATGACAGAGCTGCTGGAGAAGATAGAGGAGATGGTGGCAGCAAACAGTGGACGCCATTTTGAAATGGACAGAAAGATTCTACAGGAGGTGAAAGAAAAGAGGAGAGCAGAGGAAGAGAGAGCTAAAGAGAGGAAGAAGGTGGAGAAACAGAAAGATGACATCAGATCACAGATAGGTGAGTGTCTCAGTTATCAATATTGGGATACAATGTGCAGTGCATTATTATGTTGTGGTATCTCTTGATTCTTAATAATAACAACATTGTTAGGCCAGTTCAGACCTAGATTTAAATAAATTGTTGTAGTATGACATAAGACTGACTTTGGACGGAGGTCTGAGCAGCTTCTGCTTCAAGACCGTACCCCTCTTGATGAACTGTGGATGGACTAAGACTGGAACATACTAAATATGGGGGAGTGAGGCATGCTCTGTGCACAGAGTGGCTTTATTTGGGGCAGCTCCCACTACACACAAAAAAGCACAGCTCAGAATGTCAGAGACTTTGCAAAGCACATTTACAAACATTGGAGTAAACATGTGAGTGGTAATGAGAATGTGTTCCAGAGAATGAGTTCAAGGTGTGTGGTAATGAGTGGGTGGAGTCAAGGTGGAGCTGGAGTGTGCCATTAAAGAACAAGGGAGTCCAAAAGCTGTCTACCCTCATGCAGCAGAGGGGAGACCCTGTCACATAGATCTAGAACTGAGTAACAGGAAGGAGATAGGAAAGTGGTGGGGGTGCAAGAACTTTTTCATAGGTAATGGAAACTAGAAATGGAAATTCATTAAAAGTTAATTAGGATCCTCCCCAAATCTATTTTTTAAATATGGAATTCTCTGCCTTTTCAGGAGTTTCGACTGAACCCAGCCTTTAACCCTAGCTTTACAATGTAATAGCTGAAAACTAGCTAGATGTGATGAAGATACACAAAACGACACTTTCAGCAGACTTCTTTGCTTTGCAATTTCCAGTTGTCGCAACCAAGAGCTATCTCTTTTGGCCAGGGTCTGGACATTTATAAGTAATTCTAATATTGTCTATACTATTGCCCTAATAACTATCTGTAATCTAATGTCTTCAAAAAGAATTAATAGAATCAAAGAATATCAACAAAAATGAAAAAGGATAAAAAGGAATGAAAAAAGACTCCAGCCACGTTCTTGTGGAAGGAAGGAAAAGGCCTTCGCTTTATTTAGCATCAAATGGCAAGATGGTTCCCGGTCAACCACAATGCAAAGAAAATCTCAAAGCATCCCTTTTTATTCCTCCTCGGGGGTGATGAGGTAATCTCCCCACCCCATTTACACAGTTCCATACCATTTTAGTCCCCATCATATCCAAACCTTACACCTTTTTTGGTAACCTTTAAAACCAAACATGTATGATGTCTAAACCCTGTGACGATTCAACAGAATTCAGACGCTCGCGGATAAAAGGAGCAACAGTTGTTTTATTATCGTCAGGCAAAGCCGTGGTCAAAAAACAGGCGTGGGTCAAATCCAAAAAAGCCAGCCAGATCACAATTGTGATAATAATACCAGGCAGTCAAGATCAAAGGGATAAAGCAAAAATCGTGGTCAAAGAACAAGCCAAAACGTCAAAAACACAGATCCACAAACAGCAGGCAAAGGTACCAAGGGGTTAGGCAAAAAACAAGGTCAGGGAAACAAAGCACAGGTCATAACAGGCAAAGACAATCAGAAATATAACACTCGGTAAGTTCTTGGAATAAACAATACCTCGCAATGTCTGCATCTAAAGCCCGGGCTTATATACTGAACTAATACAGTCATATGACAAGATACACAGGTGCACAACATTAGTATTCAGGCGATCGGGAACGCTGATAGGTGCGTGTGCTATTGTCTGATGTCATGTGATCTCCTGAAGGATTGTGGGCAATGGAGTCTGTTTCGGTTTCCGAGTCCGAGGGAAGTTGTTTTGACATGTGATCTCCACATGCATGCTGGGAAATGAAGTCCGAATCTTCCCGATGCGTGACAAACCCACTCTGGTCTGACTCTTACCAGATTGTTCTCTCCTTACAGGGCCCTCTTGCGCAGCTCTCCATAGGGCCATCTCACACAATCCTCCATATACATACAAGACTGGACCTCAGCTATAACTTAAACTGTCATCTGGCACAGCTCCATTCTGTGGGCCCAAAAACTCTTTCCCTGTTAGAGAGTCTACTGCATACAGTCCATAGTCTGCTTCCCTGTGTTACCTTATTAGGAGGGCTCTCTAGTCAGAGTTTAGTTCCAACCATAATCTTACACACCTTTCCAAATGAAGGCCTTAAATGAAAGCCTTCCAATATGTTGAACTCAGCAAATCAGTAGAAATCGTGCACTAAAATTTGCAGAAAAATGACATATAGATATAGAAGGAATGAGTGCAGGAAGAAGGGTTTGGAGCAATCTGGGCAGACTTACAAAGTTTCAGAGAGGATTTTCCCAGAGAGGCATGCCATGACACAGAGCTACTTTTATTTTTTTAGTGAAAAACTGCATCATTACTATTTGGCCATTGCTGATACTTATTTTAACACACCCAGCTGTTCTGGAATCAGTACTACAAATCATCAAATACTGTATATCATTCTCAAGTTATAGAGCATAAACTGAAAAATTAAACCACTCTCTTTTCCCCATGTTTCACAGTGAAAGATGCATCTTCTGTGGGAGGATCATTCAGATCACAATCAGGACCTGTTTGTGCATCAACATGTTCCAGAGACTCATCTCACAATTCTTCAAGATCCATTCCTGAATCTCTGCACTTGGAAAGGTCTAATTGTCTAAATATAACCGAACCAACCAGTAAGTAGTACAGATTTTTTTTTAATGAACACTTCTAAAATCTTGAAACAGACACAAGAATATAAATGTGAAACGAGTAGAAACAAGGCTTCATAGTCAGAAAAGAGTGACAAGGTTTCGTAACCGAATTGCCCATTATGGATGGTGCATGGCAACTGCAGCTATTTTCAAAATGAAAAACTGGGCCAAAATTGTCATGTTGCTTTGCCACACCCAGAACAAATTAATTTAATATTAGTCAACATTTTAGTCTGTTCTTTAGTTGGTGAAACTAAGAGACTGAAGAGCTCTACACTATAAGTAATTAAATACAGGATTATCAGACTAAAGGCCAGAGAGTGAAAAACTGAACCATGTTCTTCATCCTTTACAGTGAGTATAGAGAAGAGCTCAGATACATCTTCTGTGAGAGGATCATTCAGATCACGATCAGGACCATCACAATCATCAACACGATCCAAAGACTCATCTCACAGCTCTGGATTTGGTTCTGTTACATCTATTCCTGAATCTCTGCTCTTGGAAAGGTCTAATAGCATGAAAGGACCACCAACCCGTGAGTATTACACTTTTACATTTTTAACCCTTAGAACTCAAAGCGGAAATGTAGCCTTCATACCTTCAGAACGGTTTAAGCTACAGACATGATCTACATATCAGATCATTTGGCAGAGCCCTAGCTAGCTAGCATGTCATCAAGCTGTGATGTCAGAGTGAGTAAGTGAGCTTGGAAAATCACCAAAAATCTTGATATTATTGCTGATTTTTGGCCTTTATATTCCAACAAAGGGTTAAAACAGTGACATAATTCACACATCAGATCACTCATCAGACTCTGCCCTTACAATCCAGAGTGATTTCATCCACCTGTGACCATCCATCAGCCAGCAATCCAGCCCCAAAATCACCCAAACCCCACTCTCTACTGTTATATTATATCTCTGCTTTTAGTCTTTGTATTATGAACAAAGGGTTAAAAATAGTGACATGATCACACACCAGAACACTCAGCACATCCTGCCATCACTAGCCAGAGTGTTTACTTTCTTATAATGTTGCTACAATGTTGTCAAACACTGGTGCTGTTCACGTTGTCCGAACAAGGTTGACATGTTATGACAACCTCATTATTCTGTAACGTTGCCATACAGTATTATGAGTACCTATTGGCATTTTAGCATGATTCCATAGACAACATAATGGAACTTATGAGGATTCTAGGAGGTTGTGACAACGTAGTGGCAACATTGTCACAGCTCAACAATGTTGCCAGATAACGTTGTGACAACTGTCTGAGGAATTACATGTGAACATTGTGGGCTCCAAAACATTAGGTTGTCAAAACCTAACTGTGTTTGCAAGTACAGCGAATGTTTGGTATAGAATGTCTCCTTGTGTTTCAAACAGTCCTCTGATTGACTCAGACTCAGTTTAGTGCTGATAATCAGAAATTTATTTCCCTCAAAATCACACAAACAGGCCCTAAAACACATTTTAACAGATAGATAACAATAAATATGACAAATATTATTATAAAAGTAATAAGTTTACATTGCATTTGAGTTTTTTCAGTTTACATTGCATTTGAGTATTAAAAATATCTGATATTAAATGTGCAACTCAATTTATAATGAACAATAAAGCATGTCTGGCTGTGTTTCAGAGTATTATTACGTAGCATGAATCCAAGAGGACAGAAAACCAATAAAAATCATGGCCACTTTAAGCTAACTGTTTACTTTTCCTCAATAATGACCAATAGAATGATTCACCATCACAATTCTTGCACTTTCAGCTCACAGACACTCCAGACTAACAATTTCTGAAAAGGTAGCTAACATGCCACGTGTTTTCATAATCTCTATAAGCAAATAACACAGTTTTTCAGGCACTGGGTAAATTTATGATAAAAAAGTACCCAAATTTATAAAGATATCAAATTTGTGTTAGCATTTACATGTCAAGTAATGGCATATCTAAGTAGCTCAGGGTCACCTGAAAATAACATATGGCATGTGTGACTGTTTCATGTAAATACTTATATTTACATTATATATATAATATATAATACTTATATAATTGCAATAGTAATCGTAATTGGCTCAAAATACAAAAAAAAAAATTACCCCAAAAAGTCTAGGGTTCTAAGGGTTAAACGTACATTATTTTTGTTCTTACTTATGTCTTTTAAGTAGTGGAGAGTTCATTTGGACAGAAAGCTTTTGCTCTGAATAGAGCCTTGTCTTGCTCAAATACATGTTCACATTAAACGTCTTTAATAAATGAGACATATCTCAGAATCTGAAAGTCATGTTACACGTTTTCATTTGTTATTTTCTTTATTATTTTTCTCAG